ATGATGGACGAAAGCTCAGCACATTTTCAGCCGAAACGAGGAAGGAAGTCCCGTGGACTGCGTCAACATGAATATCTTATAAAAGCCAACCGGCTGCAGTACAAATCGGATCCGTCCTCATCTGGTGAGATCGACCAACGAATCTCTTCTTCATGCACTTTCATACGAAATGAAGGTCCAATGTTATCTCAGGAGATTCTCCGTCATGCACTTTCATACAAAATGAAGGTCCCTCTACATCTGGTGAGATCGACCAACGAATCTCTTCTTTATGCACTTTCATACGAAATGAAGGTCCCTCTAACAAGATCGGGTGAGATCGACCAACGAATCTCTTCTTCATGCACTTTCATACGAAATGAAGGTCCCTCTAACAATAATTAGTCCCGTGGAATGCGTCAATATGAATATCGTATAAAATCCAACCGGCTGCAGTACAACGAGTTTCATCCATCCTCATGCCAACCGGCTGCAGTACAACGAGTTTCATCCGTTATGCACTTTCATACAAAATGAAGGTCCCTCTACATCTGGTGAGATCGACCAACGAATCTCTTCTTTATGCACTTTCATACGAAATGAAGGTCCCTCTAACAAGATCGGGTGAGATCGACCAACGAATCTCTTCTTCATGCACTTTCATACGAAATGAAGGTCCCTCTAACAATAATTAGTCCCGTGGAATGCGTCAATATGAATATCGTATAAAATCCAACCGGCTGCAGTACAACGAGTTTCATCCATCCTCATGAATCTCTTCTTCATGCACTTTCATACGAAATGAAGGTCCCTCTAACAATGTTATCTCAGGAGATTCATCGTATCTACAAAATTTAAATTTTTGATACAAAGCCATGAATGCATGCATAATGTAGATCAGATAGCAATGATCTGTCAAAATGCTAAGAAAGATAACCCTTGAATAGCCATTGAACGAAAGCATACTAATTATTCCCAAAGACTAGAAAAAAGGACTTAATGCCTTCCAGGTTATAATTTTTTTCCTTCATCAAGCATAAATTATAAAAAGAAAATGTGAAACAATTTTTGCGTTTTAAGATGAAGAGTAGTCAATCTGTCTTAAACCCACCTGGAGTCGTGTGTTTGAGTGATTAACTACGGATTGGCGCTCACTACCGGCAAGATCAACGATGCTAAGCTGACTAAACAAAACATTCTCGATCATTTCGCCGCCGCCACATTTGGTCTAAAAGAGAAAAGATATAAAACGAATGAAATAGATGTAAACAATAATTAAACCCCAGCAAAAAATGGTAAAAAAGTAGAGCGATATTAGATTAACCAAAGCAAAAATTTTAATTTAATCTTGACTCGAGATGATTAAAAAATATATAAAAATCGTTCAATATTTCAATCAAGAAATATACTAATATGAAAATGTCCCATCATGAGTAACATTAAGGGATTTATTAGGAGAATGTGAAGTTCCAAATTAGTGCCTCGCGGCAAGTATGGAAATGGGTATGACATTAAAATACATTCGATAATCGGTGTTTTAAAAATTATATTAATAGCCTAGGGTAACTAGACCCTTCACTTAACAATAAAAATTTGTTAAAGGGGCTTCATATGTAATTCTCACTATACTTTATATATCTCAATAGCCCACACCTTATAAATCTTTCCTAAGGTTATCACGTTATTTCACTATCGTGTGATTTTATCCACCATGGTTTATAACGTAGAAACAAGATCTAAATTAAGGGTAATGTGGGAGAATTGACTGCGTCTAGTCTTGCCCTAAGTGGATAATTCGAATTTGCTATCCCAAAACCAAATTGGTCAAAGCTTAGATTCTAAAAGAAGTGGGTTGACCTCGTTTTTGCAACTTGGTCTTGGTGTCAGGGTGACTTAGCTGAATGCCCCTTGTCCGAAGTCATCTGCCACTGTAGTTATCATAATTCCCAGCATCAGACTGTGGATTTGGTACATTCTCAGACGTTTCGCCGGCATCATCATGAGTCTTACCATTCTCGGCACCAAGCTGCAAACTCGTCACAGAGACAAGTGAAGTCAATCCCTCGACCAACGCTTTGCCGAAACGGCTACACGATCACTCCTCTTTCTGCCTTGGCCAATCTATCTACTCCTTGCCCTCTTATCCAACCCCCGCCCTATCAGAACTTCTGACTTGTTTACATTCCACTCGTCAAAATGTGTGTCCTTTTGTGGTAAATCTAGTGTTGTTTTATCACACCTGCTAGTTACCTTGGCTCTCTCTCTTTCGATCGGATAATCCAATCGGGTCTCCATCATGGTCCCGGAGATCCGTTTCTTATCATTTTGGTTGGCCGATTTCACTCGGTTACAATCCTAGTGGGAGTTTTACTCCAGGCGCTAGTTCTCAAGGCTTTAGAAGCACGTACAATGCCAGAGTAACCGGAGGAAAAAGGATCGCAATGATAAAAAAATAGGGAGTTCGGAAATCAAGTGAAGACGCTATCAGTGAGTGATGTATGTTTGAGAGAACCAGTACAATCCTGGGGACCTGGCGGTCAGGGAACTAGGCAGACGGATAAGCAAAACTGTCACACAAATTCGGCACTACGGACAAAATGTACTAGAAATCCATTTGAGATGCTGCAGGCGCCCACAGTTTGCTCAGATATCACTGGTTTAGTGAAGGAGACGATCCGTGAGGGCAACGCCAAATCTCTCCAAGAAGTGTACATGTTTCTAAGACCTTGAGAAATAGCACCTTTAGTAAATCGCTCACTGGGATTATAATCAGGTAAAATCGGAAAACCAGAAAGATAAGAAACGGATCTCCGGGACCATGACGGAGACCCAATCGGATTATCCAATCGAAAGAGAGAGAACCAAGATGAATAGCAGGTGTGATGAAGCCATAATAAATTTGCTTAAAAAGGGCACAAATTTTGATGAGTGGAATGTAAGGACGGGAGTTGGATAAGAGGGTAAGGAGTAGACAGATTGGCCAGGACAGAAAGTGATAGCGTAACCGTCTCGGCAGAACCTTGGTCGAGGGATTGACTTCACTTGTCTCTGTCACGAGTTTGCAGCTTGGTGCGGAGGATGGTAAGACTCATGATGATGCCGGCGAAACGTCTGAGAATGTACCAAATCCACAGTCTAATGCTGGGAATTATGATAACTACAATGACAGAGAAGTTCGGACAAGGGGCTTTCAACTAAGTCCCCATTACAAGACCAAGTTGCGAAAATGAGGTCAACTTACTTTTATAAATCGAAAGGAGACTGTGATCATACCTAAGGCCATACCATCTTGGTCTTCATATCTTGGCTTAGATTCTAAGATTAAGCCTAACGTTGTGAGATCAATTAAAGTCAATGAGGAGTTTAGTTAGAACTACGGTTGATGAATACAAAGAAAGACACAAGGATAAAGAAGTCATAAATGGTTCAAGACTAAGATTATCAAGCTATCACTGTATATGTTCATATATAGAGACAGCAAATTTCACTTAAAATAGCTAATTAAAACAAAATACGCTAAATTTTCACATTCGAAATTCTTTTATGACAAAATATACTTTTTTAAACTAGATAAATGCTCGCATATAGATTCGTACGTACAAGATCGCGCCGAGTAATAGAGATGGTAAGGACAGTATGCGATCGGCTGCTGCAATGGTTGACTTTTGTGGCAGCCACAGAACGCTTGCGGGCACCAACTCGCAACCAACCAGTGATATCGGCAGACGCCTGAACGCCCAGGCGCGATAAGCCATCGACATATGGTCCTGTTATGGGGTGTTCACGTATCTGTAGCTTAAGTAAAAGGGAGGAAAATGGGAAGCATTAGCAAGATGATAAGATAAAAGCGCTTTCATGAAATAAGACTTGTGAGCACGCATACTCTAGTAAATAAGTCACAGTTAATAAAAGCTAAACGAATTGCGATAAAAGCGAAGATATGCGAAAAATAAAGCAAAGCGTAAATATGAAGACCGAAATGGTATGGCCTTCTGTATGATCACAGTCTTATTAAGACTTACAGTGTTGGTTCGACCTTGTTTTCGCAACTTGTTCGGAGCGTCAGGGAGACCTAGTCAGGGATATGTCTACCCTTCTGCGAATTGGCTCGGAAACTGCAGCCGATACTAGAGAAATGGAACATCCGTACAATCGTGAGGGAAAGAACAAACTTCTTCACCAGATTGCCTAATCAGGATGAAGAAGTTAACGAAATGGAGTGCTCCAGAGTTTACAGCATAAACTGCAAGAACTGTAAACAATAAACCATCGGAGAGAAGAGAAAGATAATTAGATAAAGGATCAAAGAACACCAGCGACTATGGATAAAGATGGATAAGGAAAGATCGGAGACACACAATCGAATAATGCAACGACAAAACTGGCCTCATATGAGGAAAACACCAGGAAACGGAAGATCAGGGAGGTTGTGGACATCCTATTTCAAAGAAACCTGATGAACAGGATTGGAATAGGAAAGAGTCAGTGATAATTTCGCGTATTGCCTGGGCAGACTTGGAGATTTGGCGAAGACATCAAAAAGAAGACGCTTGGAGTCAAGACAACTGTCCAACAACAGAAAAAGACATCGCCAAGAAGAGGATCATGAGGGATAAAGGGAAGTCAAGAAAAGGCGATTGCAGCGAGACGAATCGGCCAAAAATGTACCCGGAGGGTTGTTCAGCTGTGGTATAGAAAAGTAAAGGCCAAAGGAATAGGTGGTTCAGATATAGGTAACCAGGGTGTGTGCATAAAAAAGAGGGGACTGGTGACATGCTAGATCACGGTGGACACCAAACAACACACAAATAAACACCATCCTAGCCCCCTATGGGGTGCCCACATGAGAGACGAGAGGAGTGTGTTTTCATGAATAAAAGGAAACAAAGGGAAGAGTGCATTTTCACTCGAGCGGTTATGACTTAAGCCGGACACAGGGCCCCAAAGAATGAAACACAATATGAAAGAAGAGAATCAAGTCATGGGTTTGAAGCCTAGGGAGAGGAAGATCCCCAGACACTGGCATGGGAATAATCTGCTCCAAATGCTCGAATATGACGTAATCGGGAATGGCAACTGAGGGCTTTCATCAGCCCGATTTCAGACAGCCGGACAGTGATTTTGATGTTTAGCATCGACCAAATGAGAAACAGGGTAGGATAAAGAGGGGCAGAATATAGGTCAGGAACCCTGAAAACAACACATGGTATCGGCGGTGGAGATGGCCACACCACTAAATCCACTTGTAGCCACACGCTCTTAGGCGACATTGGAAAAAATGAGAGCACAGAATTGTCTGAATAGGTAGATGGGTCATATGAAGTGGGACTGGGAGAAAGAGATGAGAAATAATGGTTGAACATAAAATTGGCTTCATTTGTCACTGATAATTTGTAACTCTGATAACAATGTGCCTATCACTAACGATGTAGGAGAAACATTTGCGAATGTGCCAAGTCAATGGTCCGAAGCTGGAAATCATGAATACTGTGGTAGAGGACACAGGACTAGATACGTTTCACAAGTTCTTCCTGACGCTCCGACGAAGTTTCGAAAACAAGGTCGAACTAACACTAAAGTAAGAAGAGGTCGGTTCGAAATAAGAAATTATAAAATCACCAATATTTGAAATAGCAAATAATAAAGCATCAAAACAAACATTTGTTTAAACCAGTTCCAATAGTAACTAGGATAATGTCTAATTAAATCATGTATGGCACGAAGACTTTATTTACGAAAAAGAATAAAAGAAATAATTTAAAAGTTGAATCTTTAATTATTACCATATAAACACTATATGAAAACAGAGCTTTCAGGTGGTGTGAATCCTTCAACCGTTAACAACTGCAATCTTTTCTTTTGGCCAATTCTGCTGCTCAGCCTTCTTTTTAGGCAAGCATATTAAGGTATATGCAAGGAGTTTAAGAGTTTGGTCACTCGAGGTCACTTGAAGTGATTTAGAGACTGAGGTTTTTCACAATGTACTGGGAAGGCCTAACGATGGTAATTAATTTCACTTAGTCTAGATCATCTTATTCAGGATGTACGGTAGTTTTGACCTCGACCAGGCTTCATTAGCATCCCCATCAGGGTCGTAAGTATGATGGCGTGGCATCACCAAGATACTCAAGACCCATCATCGGAACCAGTTTGGGATGTTGATGAAAGCTAGGTGAGATCGAAACCACAGTAAGTTCTAGTCGGAAGGCAAAGCTACGTGAGATCCAATGGCAGGCTAAGGAATACTCATCTAATTTTGGGAAAACTCAACTACCAGTGCGTAAACTCCCTTGAACGACCTTAGGTGACTAAGTTCTTACTCAAAAATTACTTATATCGAAGGCAAGACAGTTAGCCATTATAAAGAATAATAAAAATTAGATTAGCCTCTTACTGACGATGCCGACAACGATGAGAGAGAAAATATTGGGAATGTATCAAGACTGAGATCCGACGCAGGGATTTATCATAATTGTAGTTATCTAAACGACCTTGAGGTTGGAAGCCTAATTCCCTGTTGATTGAAACGAGGTTTCATATAAGGTGAAATGAATGATATTAAGATAATCAAAGGTATGAAGACCAGGATAGGGTCGCCTTGTATAGTGATGGTCTCCTTTCGTTGTATAGAAGTTAGTTAACCTTGGTTTCACAACTTGGTCATATTAGCAGGAAGACCTAGAGGAACTCACTTTGTCCGAAATCCATAGTATGCATGATCACTTCCAGTCGGACAGGGGACTTGATACATTCCCAGACGTTTCGCCGGCATCAACAGTGCGTCTTGCCAGTCTAAATAATCAAGCTACAACTCGTCAACGGGACAAGTTAAGTCAATACCTTGACCAACTTGCTGTCGAGACGGTTATGCTATTACTCCTCGTTTTGTCCTGGTCCCTTTATCCATTTCCTACCCTCTAGTCTCGCCCTCGTCCTATCACAACGTCTGACATGTTTATATTCCACAAGAGATGTGCCCTTCTTGCGAATTTACCATGGCGTCATCACACCTGCTGTTTGCCTTGCTTCACTCACTTTCAAGTGGCTGATCCGACTGGGGCCTCCGGCTTGGATCTGCCCCATTGGCCCTTAGGTCCGTTTATTATCTTTCTGGTTGACTTATTTCACTCGGTTCCAGCCCCAATGGGGCTAAGAATGGCAAGGCGCACTGACAATGCTGGAGAAACGTCTGGGAATGTACCAAGTACATGGTTTGACTAAAGGGTTGCTCAAGCAATATGCAAAGCTAACGATAATTCTGAATTTGTCCAATCACTGTCCTCGGTATTTCCTCCAGATCGAACTATTACAATATTTTGTGTTCATTTGGTATATATATATATATATACCAACATTTAGCTTGTGGTAAAATGCATGTATTCGAGTCGTAGTCAATGGGTATGATGGAAGAGGACTTTTTTGTGAGATAAGTGTCACAGGTTAGATGCAATGTCCTGTAGAGAGTCTCATCGATGTAGTGAGGAGGAACTAAGGCGAGTCCCTAAAAAGCCTTCCTTTCTGTTACCGTCAAGTTGATCTCGAATCCAGTTTGTAGAGTGTTCCGCTACAAATCTTTTGATATTCTTTTATCTGTTTTGCCAATATATTTCGGCTTACCATCAACGCATGTGATACAAAAAATCACTGAGCAATCCAAGTTGATCACCTTTTCATGCTGCATGGGTAAGCTAATGGAGTGTTATCGTTAATTTCTTGATTACTCAAACATTCAATTTATTAATATTGGTCTAAGTTAATGGGTTAGTTCGTATAAAGCTAGGAATATCCGCCTCTTACATCCTTATTTTCCTTTCATAATCCTCAACACACCAACCGCTAGTTCCGGCCCGTATGTTCCCTCGTAGAATTAAAATCTGGCATCCATTGTCAAGAAATATCCAAGTCAATTTGGCCAATTCACCATACAATACTTTCATGTCTGTTAGTCTGAGACTGCTAATAATCGTGTTGCTCATTCTGTTGATTTTGTCTGTATCTATGTTTCTGCAGTCTTTGGCATTCCTTAATTCTTAAGCTGATTTTTATTTTATATCATCAATAGACTTCTGCTTACAGTTGCTTCATGTGATGCACTAAGCTACCGAGCAGTCCAGATTCTCCCCCTTTTCATTCTGCGGAGGCTGTGGCGGGGTTGCCTTGGAGCTGTGGTTGTAAATTTGTGCGAATAGATCCTCGGCGCATCGACCTGCGACCCAAATTAAGCCTTGCCGACCCTTTGTCCCTCATATGAAGGACATCGTCAGAGCAGAACACCATGGTTAACCATAATTCACCATAAAACACGAAGGCAAGAAAGATTGCTAGCTTCAAACCTGCTTCATTCTTATATTCAAATTTGGTCCACTTATGCATCTCGTGTTTAGGTTGGATGTTCAATGCTTTGTAAAGCTATATTT